CTGAGCGTCCTCACCAACCAGCTCTCTCTACATCACGCTTGTAACCATGCTGCCTTCCCAGCACCAAGCTGGGGAGATATGATAGAGGTGTACAAGTGGGTAAGTGGGATTAACAAGGGTAAAATGGAAGATGTTCTGAAGCTCAGTAATAACGAAATAACTAGAACAAATGGCTTTAAATTAGATAAATTCCGATTCAGAAAGAATATAGGCAAGCACTGGTTTGGAAATAGAGTTGTGGATATGTGGAATAGGCTACCGAGTGCTATAGTAGGATCGGGGACGCTAGGGAGCTTCAAGACGAAGTTGGATAGGCACATGGAAGTGCTGGGATGGGTGTGAAAGGGATCTGCCCTGTATGGGCCAGTCGGCCTCCTGCAGTATCCCACTTCCTTATGTTCTTATGTTATGTATATAGAGAGCACATCGTGAGTTTCCTTTCTCCATTCCATCCTGAGTGTGAACCAAACATCTCATACCCCACAAACGTGTCAGTATTGGTGTACATGACATTCAAGCCAGAATTTGTTCTCGGTAACGTCTCTGCTCTTAGTAGTAACCCCGCCCCACCCCCCATTCTCAGAAGCTGCAGCATTTGCTAAGTACACTGTATTTTGCAGGGTGTGGTTAGAAATGGCATTGTTTACACGGCGCTCGCCTCCTCCTGTCCGGTAGGCGGGGCTGGTGCCGCCTCCCGGGTGAGGGTTAGAGCGGGTGGAGGGTGCACTGCTGCCCCCTGGCCCTGTGTCGGCACACTTGCTTCCACTACCCTCCCCCTGAGTATAACCCATGTACACCCGTCCCCGTTCTTCCTTGACTCCTCCCTCTTCTGCTTCAAGTCCTGTAGTAGCTTCTTGTGCTGTTCCCTCTTTATTACCGTGCGATCTGGGTGAATGAATACATCCCGAAATGCCTTGCTCCTTAAGAGTCGCACAAAGACAAAAATGCTCATATGAAAGATGCCTTAGTGCCACCACAACATTCTCTGGCAGGTCGACAGCTCTTATGTCAAAGAAGTTAATTCTGAATATTTTCTGCACCGATAACTTCTTTAACGTTAGGTTGTGACCTCTAGTTGGGCGGCACACTAACTCTAGATATATACTGTACATTTGACTGAGTACCGTAATATTCTTCAAAGTGCTTTTAAATCTCTATTAAACTGTACCTTGCTCTTATCTAATATGAATAAGATGGTACTTGCCAACAGTGCGTAACAGAGGCGTGACCCATCGCCGAAGCGGCTAACGAGCCGATCAGTGACGAAGAGGTTATAATCTCACTCGATGCCTGAGATTTTAATTCCATTCAAAATCTCAACCAACTCATCAAAGATTCAGAAAAAAAAATTACAGTTCAGAGTACATATTGCATTTAATCTTGTTAATGAATAATTTCACTCATAATCAACTACAACAGTAATTACATTATTTAATTCCTGCACATCTATGAGGAATACACTCGAAGACCCACAAGTTGACCCCTCTTTTTACTTTACTTTTATCCTCTTCGCCACTGATCGGCTTGTTAGCCGCTTGGGCGATCGGTCACGTCTCTTTTCCTTTATATTCTTCACCAAAAGGTCGGCTCGCTAGCCGCCCGAGCGATCGGTCACGTCTCTGTCACGCACTGTTGGCAAATACTGGGCATGCACCGGCTCCTGAATGTACCTGAACCCGCTCCAGTGTTGGTCAAGTCTTCTCTTGAAAGAGCTCACACTCGGTGCCGTCACAACACTCTCTGGTAGATTGTTCCAAGAGTTTACAACCCTCACTCCGAAAAAGTTTGCCCTCACGGTTTTCTGGACTTGCGGCTTCTTCAATCTTGAGCTGTGACCCCTTGTGGGGCGAGCGTCCGCCAGCTCCAAGTAAGGACACTCAACTGAGTAGTGCCCCCTGAGATGCTTATAAACCTCAACTAGGTCCCCCCTTGCCCGTCTGTAGTATAAGCTAGGCAAGTTCAGGCGCTCCAATCTCTCAGGGTAGCTGAGGTGCCGAAGTGCAGGCACCAGTTTGGTGGCCCTCCTTTGAACATTTTCAACCAACTGACAGTCCCTAGCATATCTCGGGGACCAGATGGGGTGACAGTACTCCAGATGGGGAAGCACTTCACTCCTGAAGATCGTCACGAGGGACGGACCGTCTAGATATCTGAACGACCTTCTTATAAGACCCAATAATTTATTTGCCTGATTTACCTTCTTCTCACAATGGCCCGAGAACTTCAGCTCATTGTCAACATACACACCTAGGTCCTTCTCACACACAGTCTCAACTAGTACATTTTCTTCATCCCGTTGGGACATATGGTACGCCTCCTTACCGTTGGTACGCCCCAGGTGCATCCTCTTACACTTCGTGACATTGAATCTCAGCAGCCATTCCTTCGACCATTCCTGGAGCCCACAGAGGTCCTTCTGCAGCTCTTCACAGTCCGCTTGGTTCTTAATTTCCCGAAATAACTTGGCGTCATCGGCAAACATTTGTATGGAGGAGTGTACAACGTCAGGCATATCATTTATGAAACAAACAAACAACAGCGGGCCCAATACACTACCCTGCGGTACCCCACTTGTTACAGGTACAGATGACGATTTCGTGCCATTAATCACCACACATTGCTTGCGGTCATGTAGAAAGTCTTCTATCCACGCTAGGACATTTCCCCGAATTCCGTACCCTTCCAGTTTGATTTTCAGCCTTTCGTGGGGTACACTGTCGAAAGCCTTGGCAAAATCTAGGTAAATATTGTCGATATTACCACCCCGTTCTAGAATATGGGTCCAAATATCCAATACCTTGAGCAATTTTCTCTTAACCTCCCCCTGCACACATAACTAATGAAACCTGCCATATTGATGTGTAAATTTGGATCTGGATCTTGGGGTTAATAAGCTTGAATCAATTACAATCAATTAGTTAACAAGGGGGAATTACAGTATGATAAATCAGTTAATTAACATGGACGTAAACTTGAATCATAATAAATTAACAAGGTAATATGCAGGAACCAGGTATTAAGCTCGAGATAAGTTAATAAATAAGGTAGTAGCTTGAGTATATCAACCAACTATGTAGATGACCTCAGGTTATAATCATTTAATAAACATGGCTTATAACAGTGTAGTGGATTCCTCCCCTACAAGCACCGAACCTTCTCGAATGCCCCAGCCTACGCCTCCAGCGCCGCCTACGGAGCGGGGGTCAACTATCAACCCACGCCTACCCCCGCCTTATAAGGCCTGACACCGCTGTGACCATCCTCTTTTCTACCCAGTGCCACCAGCAAGCAACACCTCCTCCGCGCCAGCCTGGCGGCTCCCGCTCCCGCCGGCGACCTAGGCGCCCCTCAAGACGTGTGCCCTCACTCTGAACACCCTCACCACCCAGCTCTCTCTACTCAACGCTTATTATCATGCTACCTACCCAGCAACAAGCTGCATTGTACATCCAATACAACATGTATACAGTGAGCACATTGTGAGTTTCCTTTCTCCATCCCATCCTGAGTGTGAACCAATATCTCAAAACTCCACAACAGCTTTACAAGGTGGTAGGCTAAAGATAGAATTAATTAATTAGTTGGGCAGTAAGACGGTTGTGTGTGTGGGGAATGGGAGTATGTGTGGGGGGGAGAGGAGTGTGTGAGGGGGATATGAGTGTGTGTGAGGGAGGATAGGAGTGTGTGTGAGGGATAGGGGTGTGTGTGGGGGGGATAGGGGAGTGTGTGTGAGGGGGATAGGGTGTGTGTGAGGGGATGGGGTGTGTGTGAGGGGATGGGGTGTGTGTGGGGGGGATGTGTGTGTGGGGTGTGTGTGTAGGGGTGTGTGTGGAGGGGATAGGGTGTGTGTGGGGTGTGTGGGGGGATAGGAGTGTGTGGGGGGATAGGGGTGTGTGTGTGTGAGGGGGATGGTGTGAGGGGGTGTGTGTGGGGGGATAGGGTGTGTGTGGGGGGATGGGGTGTGTGTGTGAGGGGGATAGGGGTGTGTGTGGGGATGGGGTGTGTGTGAGGGATGGGGTGTGTGTGGGGGAGGTGTGTGTGGGGGATAGGGTGTGTGTGTGGGGGGGGGGTGTATGTGTGTGTGTGGGGAGGGGAGGGTGTGTGTGTGTGGGGGAGGTGTGTGTGGGGGGTGAGGAGAGGGTGTGTGGGGGATGAGGGGGAGAGGGGTGTGTGTGTTGGGGTGAGGAGAGGAGTGTGTGTGGGGGAGAGGTGTGTGTGGGGATGAGGAGAGGGTGTGTGTGGGGAGAGATGGAGAGGAGTGTGTGTTGGGGTGAGGAGAGGAGTGTGTGTGGGGGAGATGAGGAGAGGAGTGTGTGTGGAGGAGGAGTGTGTGTTTGTGTGTGTGGTGTGTGTGTGTGTGTCCGTTTTTTTAATCATGCTGCCTAAAAATAGGTTTAATGTTTCATACTTAAGTACTGTACATACTAATTACAAGCAACTAGTCAGAACACACATCACCTCCAGGGAAGTTTTCTGATAAAAGAGAGAGAGAGAGAGAGAGAGAGAGAGATTTTTTCCAGGTCAAACAAACTCAGGATTCTTTAAATTAGTTTATTCTACGATGTGGGGCAATATCAGCGTCAGCGGAGGTCGTGTCATAACACAGGTACTGAGGCAGAACAACCTTTCTGATAGTGAAATATTAGATAAGATTAGGATATTTACAAATATTTTTACAGTATAGTACAGTTAGTAATAATAAATAAGACGTGTGAGTATACAAATGATAAAACTCTGGTAAAATTTATACCAAATATACAGTATTATTGAGCAGGCTCTTCAGAGTGAGGTGGTGGCAGTGGGGTGTGGAAGTACCACTTCCCAGCCGGAGTTGATGGGGAGTTTTCAGTATAACAATGTGGTAGGCCTTCATCCAGTTACTGGGGTAAAAGGCATGGTAAGTCCTGAGACAGTTGCTTGGATACAAGGCATGGTAGGTTCTTACACAGTAAGAGACTAGATGTGGCAGGCCTTAGATGATGACCTGAAGATTTTGGTGATTAAAATTGGGATTGGTGAAAAGAAGGATGAAATAAAAGGCCCAGACCCGCCAAAGTGCGAACCCGAGAAAATCCGCGGGTGCCATCGGGGCCACGCGGGTGCCTTGTGACAGGCAGATGGTGTTGGGTCCGCCGGTAAGAGGCGGGAGAGCTGGGTGTGGACATGCTACACCCGTTTAATGCGTGGCAGGTGGGACGCAGTGGGGGCTGGGGTGTGAGGTGAGGTGAGCCTTGACGCCACCATGACTGGCTGCTACCGCTGTCCTCACCTTCAGAGGTGCTGGACTCATTGTGAATGTGTCGCAGCTTTGATCTGCTGCACTTGAGACGCTGGCGGAGTTCCTCGGCCGACACTCCATTCTCGCCCCTCATGCGTCCCTTGGGCGTGGGTGTGGGCGTAAGAGAATTCCTGCTCGAATTTGGGGAAGGGCGACGTGAGCGACGAAGGACATGAAGGGTCATGGGTGGATTAATAAGTTCCTGGAGGGCACGAGCAGCACCCCATACGTCTTCATATTCCACCACAGCACACGTCGTTGTCGCTATCTTCGGCACGCGGGACACCAGAGTCTGTAACTCCGGTGGGACGCCACCCCCAGGCTTAGGACGCACCACGTGCAGGGACGCCACAGTGCCGTATGTGCCAAACAGCACCGCCAGACCGGCCATGGTGGCTTGGTGGGCGGGCACGTTGACGGCCACTATGGCGCGAGAGGAAGGGGCGTCATATAGCAAGGTGGGTGGGAGGGGCGCCCTTCGCTTCACCTTGGTACCCTCGTCATTCACCTGGAGCGTCGTGGAGCTCCTGAGCGCCGCCGCCAATGTTCTCCAGTCTCGAGAAATCTTCTTCACATTCTTGTACCCTGACAACAGCTTGAGGGAGACAAACCCATCCCGATGACGCTTGACATGCTTTAGCAGAAAGAGGTCTTTGGCGAGGCCATCGTCACTGAAGTAGTCCTCCAGCTGCTTGACTAGGGCGGCCACCAGCTGTGGCGTAAGGGGTTGTGGGCCCACCTCGTGGTTAGATTCGCCTCCTTCACTGGTGTAGTCTGAGCCTATGTCGGTGGTGGTGAGGGAGTGTTGGCCACTCACCATAAGTAGGCTGTGTATGCTGGTCGCCGATGTTCCATCGTTGTCTTTATCCTCGCTGGTGCTGTGAACAGCGATATGCGGTCCGTCTCTCTCTGACGACGTAATGGACACATTCCGCCACGCCCCGCTGCTGCCTTCTGTGTCCGCATCCGACATAATCGTCGCTTTGGTTAACGTCTTACAAGATTTGTTTTGTCTTTTTCCCTGGGAGTGTGGACGACCACCGTGTATACTGTCACCTTGCCAGGCAACCACTGGCTTGGCCATAACCGCCAACGCTGTAGGAGCCATCGTGAAGTCTTACAACTGCTCTACCATCTAACACCCACAAGTTTCTCTTGATGAGTTTTGATGTGTTTGTTGCTGAGGTCTTGGTGTTGTGGTCAGTGTATATTAGCTGACGGTGTTGCATATGGCGTGGCTTGCCTTGGAGTGTGACGACTGTGGTGCGCACACCAGCTAATATACCCTGCCTCGATCCCCCTTCATTCTTGTGGCGACAGCGAGACATTAGTAAGTGTTGTATCATATCCCTGATAACACAAGAGTTTTGTGTGAGCGAGAAGCTGGTGGGAATTGTGTGATGGTGGTGAGTAAAAGATGTTAAATTTCCCATGAGTCACGACTGGAGGCTACGTGCTGTATTGTTGCAATGTATCTACATATTTATTTACAATGCAGTTCTGAGCTACGTGTCTATACCAACACAATAAGAAGGAAGGAAAAACGATAGACTGAGATTTTGGGACAGACAGATACAAACAGAAAAAGTTTTAGAGACGTACAGTACAGACAGTAGCTGGAGTTGAGGTAAGCGGGGATAGGATAAAGGCAGCTCTACCAGCCAGGATTTCAATGGCGAAAATGACCAACTTGCATCGTTCACACGTCCACACACAGAAATGGAAAAAATAAAACAAATCAAGAGTGAGAAAAGATATACTGTATTGTATATGTTGTGTTGTCAGTAGTAAAAGAAACAATTGAGCCCTAGAATTTGTGTGTAAATGAGGCAAAAAATCAGTCAGATCAGCAACCTGGGACTTGTCACATTTTTTGGGATACCATCATACTCAAATACAGTTTATATTAAGGTTATATTCAGTACTCTGTGTTGACATACAGTATGTGCAAGAACAATGTTTATTATGTATTAGATAATACTTAACCTTTATGAGATGCCACACTCAAATGTTATTAGGAAGGCAAAGAACATTGTTTATTACTTATTAGACAAAATATTAGTTGTATCAATGAAATACATAAAATACTGACAGTGCTTAATGTACCTTATTACTGTAATTTAGCACCTACGCCACTAAGAAAATAATGAAATATAAATTTGGTACATTACCTTAAGGGGCCATGGCTTATGTAAAGGGAGAAAGAGGTGTAAGAATATCATATTTGTATAAGCGAACGTTCATATGGCGAGGAATACCTGTGACTGGAAAATATAACTGTTGAGACGAAAGCACTAAAATGTGGGGATTTTTTCAGCTCCAGCTCCCTATATAAAAATCATCATAAAGTTTCGTGGTTGTACTCTACCAATTCTTAACCATGTTTTTTTTCATGAAACGACATAAAGTTGCCAGGATAAAGGTAAAGTTAGATTTCGTTGGGTTTGGATTGGCTCTCTTTTTTGTGTTTTAACCATATCATTTGGGTTGGTAAGGTTTTAATGAATTTGCCCTAGAAATGAATATGAAATTCATTCAAAATGCATCGAAATATACAGGAAAAACTTACAATTTCGTCTTAAAAGGAATGGCAGCCTTATATTTTCGAGAATACCACAGTATCCTGCTCATCTTATTATATTCCGATGTTAACTAGCAATTCTGAAGAGTGAAAGCGCTCATATAAACTAATGAACAGTCAAGTCAACATTGACAGAAGTAGGTGTACCGTGTCCGACTCATCTCTCTTTATATTTCGGAAATAGAAAGAAAGAAATGTTTCAGTTCCTTAACGAGTTGCTAGTGCAATTAATAGCTGCTCAGAACCGTGGCCCCATTGCAGCTGTTACAAAGAATTGTACAAATAAAAGATATGCGTGATTTCGCCTGTATATAAACTTCACTAAGGAAAGTTCTCATTTCATTCCCCCGTATAAAATTTCTGAATAAAATTACCAATTTCGAGAAAAATCTCAAAACGTTGTATTTTTCACAAACAGTAATTTTGAAAGTTATTATTATTATTATTATTATTATTATTATTATTATTATTATTAGCAGTAGTAGTAGTAGTAGTAATAAAATTTTCATTTTCATTATTATTATGATTATTACTGATTAGCTTAATCATCATCACTTCATTCAAAATAAATATTATAAACATAGGATATGAATAATTACGTCAGACAAGTAGGATGTGACGTCACTCTCCTGTTACTCGTTAAAGACCACCTATGACTCACCGCTGGCCCTTTTATCACTCGCGTTTCATAATCTCGTTTTCCTTCCTCTAGATTCCTTCACATTACTCAATACATACCTCTCCCTTCCTGTTCCACCTACTCCCTCCCCTATGCACACTATCCACTCAATCTAATTACTTCTACCAGGAATTGATTATCGGTAATCAAAGTCTTAAACTAAATGTTTAGACAGAACGTCTTAAGAGGATTTGAAGTCTAACGATCAAGGGGTTGTAACTTAAATACTGTAAATTATTAAACACACATACACACACACACACACACACACACGACAAACCACAGCCTCTCTACTATTATTATTATTACATTATGATCATTATTTTATTAATATTTATATTATTCGTTGTTTCTCATCTTGCCTACTACAAAAAGGAAGTGACAATACGTACATTATACTGTTCAATAATTTAATCATAAATTTTTGGTATTATTGTCCAATGACCCGTTGAACCGTTGTGGTGGCGGGGTTTTCACCACCGTTACGACTGTACTTGTTATTACTTTACTTTTATTGTTATCGTTACTATTACCATTAATTATTATCATTATTATTTTTTCTCTGTGCGTTAGTGCAATTTATCAGCAGCATAAAAAGGACAATTGTCTGCAAGAAGTACCGAATAAGTTAACGATTATATGTAATGCCATTTTATCAAGTTTGAAATAGCTTAAGTTGGTCTAGGTTAGCTGGGGTATTAAGCAACTAAGTTCAATGTAATCCAAGTAACCTGAGCAATACTGAAGATGGAGCTGACGTATGTACATGTATAACCTGAAGCCTTAAAGGTTCGCAGCTTGACTTTCCTGTAATAGACGATGTGACGAAGTCGCTGTCTGGCTCAGTTACACACTACGACACTAATATTACTGAACGTGTTAAAAAAAATACATATCTGACAAAAGCACCAAATTTAGCACAAGGGGAGAATCAAGTAAGGATAATAAAATATTCCAAGCTATACTTCATCAGAAGGAAGCTAGTATTACGGTATATTTACATTATAACGTCACGTGATGAATTAAAGCACCGGTTTTCCACCAATATATTAATCGGACAGATTAAGAAAATCCTGTTCCACAAAAATCGATAACAGCCCGTCATCATGGCGTTATTATTTGGTGAGTTACCAATAATACCAACCATTGTAGCTACGAATATACTTTACTCTAAAACGTCTTTGTTATAATCTCATATTGACTATTTTTATAGTTTAGTGATCAAGGAATTCAATAAGGATATTATTTGTGAGGCTCAAAATTATAATGTGCGGCATGATGCTATTATAACATATAATTCCCTGTGAACGAATTCTGAATAACTAATTCTGAAATGCGTGTGTAGACCGGTAAGTCGCTTTCTATAGGTGTATATTGGATAAGGATTTCTATCTGGTTCTCTTACAATGATATAATGTGCTTAATGACAACACAACGATGTTATGCTATACTCAAGACTGTTTATTAACTTTATTGAGCTGAAGGATGAATGATAATTATTCTCAGACCTGTGACTGTAAAAACTATGTAAGGTAGGCCAGCTCTGAAGCACTTGTAGTTCACTCAGTCACGTCCACATCTACACCCATGTTTGATGACCTCGTTGCAAGCTTTGGCTACTTGTGAAGCGTCATTAGGGCGGATAAGCTACGATAGCTTAGGTTAGGGTTGCCATATCTAAACATTCAAAAAAGAGGACGCTCCCGAAGACATCCCCCCCGCCCCCCGCCCGGCACACACAGGCTAATATACAACATGCATGGTATAGAAATCTTAAAAAAAAAAAAATTACCTTTGCTTAAGGCTGAACATCTTCATTCCCTTAGCTGCAGTCTTCTTCCCCCACTGTGTGTGTGACTTGATGTGCCTATGCATACTTTTCTGTAGATCGGATCTTTTCAGTATTGGTTGATTGCTCTTTAGAAAGGTATAGAAGTCACTGCAAGGTGTTTCTCGGAAGTTGTACTGTACGGTCAGAATGCCTTTCATTGTTTCAACACTCAATTTGTTCCTTTCCTTTGTCCATTGACTTTGCATCAGTGAAAAAACTCTTTCTACATTTGCATTGTCAGATGATATAGCAAAGAAGAATTGTGCAATTCTTAGCAATTCTGAGTGGCATTCAATGTTCTTTGTTTTTTCAAAGTATCTGGTCCACTTTTTATGTGTTGGCAGATTACTAAATTCTTCATCACTCTTGTAATTTTCCACAAACTGCTTCAGGTTATTAACTTGGTCAAAACACTTCATAAACTTCTACCCCCTTATCAATCAAATATTTGAGAGCTAAGTTGACAACACCGTACGGGCGTACAAGTGACTTATTAGCTGACGAAAACTGAACGAGATCTCTACGGTTTCCACCTTCCCTCCCTCCCTCCCTCCCTCCCTCTCTCTCTCTCTCTCTCTCTCTCTCCCTCTCTCTCTCTCTCGTCATTACAGTTTCATGTTTTTTTTTCCGTGGAGAAAATGATGGAAGCTGAAATTCCGGACTTTTGAAGAATTTTAAAAATTCCTTCCGTATGAAGATTTCGAGACCTAAATGGAGGACATGTCCGGGAAAATACGGACGTATGGCAGCCCTAGCTTAGGTAGGTTTGAGCTAGGCTGGATTAGGTTAAGTTGTTAGGCTAAGATTCGTGCCTTACAACAATTACACTTACAAGCTAGAGCTGGTGGACGTCCGCCCCAAAAGGAGTCACAGCTCAAGGTTGAAGAAGCGGCAAGTCTAGAAAATTGCTAGGGCAAACGCTTTCAGAGTGAGAGTTGTGAACTTGTAGCGTAGTGTATGTGGCCAGTTGTCTAATTTCTCTTTGTGTTTGTCAATTTTCTCTTTGTTAGGCTCACA